AGGCGATGGCGGCGTTTCTGGCAAGAAGTGCGCGGAGAGATGCATGAGCTCCAGCGCGAGGACAGCCCAGTGTCCAGCTGGGACCTGGGCCATCTCGAACCGAAGAAAGGCTATGGAGTCCAGGGGTCACCCGTTTAAGCAGATTCGTTATTTGACCCGTGTCACCAAGTCATTCCGCTCACAACCTTCCAGTGCACGCGCTGACATAATAATACGAATAGTAATACGAATGGCAATAATAATAGAAACATAACACACATAGTACTAAACTACCACGGCTAATCATGATAATAAATAGAACATGGCAAATGAACATTTAGAACACGAAGCATCGGTTTTTTTTTATCCTCAGGGGGCGGTCCTGGAAGGCCTCTGGAAGTCATAAGCGAACGCGGGAGAAGCCGAAAGGGGCCCTGGAGGGACGAATACCCAAAAGGCGTGTCCGAGGTCCACGCTTCTCGAGCATCGTTGAACCCAATCCCTATCCCCACCCGCGTGGCCTCGGCCCCAATCGCCGACTTACCCACCCAGGTGTGGGATAGCTATATGTCGATGCATCTATCTGTATGTTGTCAGACTTAAGTATACATACATCTGTCCACATATATGTGTACATCTATGTATACATATATGGAGATGGATGTGTCTATGCATATGTATGTGTAAATGTACATGATTATGGATCTGTATATGCATATGCATATGTATGTGTACATGTATATGTATATGTATATGGCTATGTATATGTATTTATGGATATGTAAATGTATATGTGCTTAAACACACCTGTTCCTTCGGGTATCGCAGGGCCGATGCCCACATAAAAAAAGGTGGGCTGATGGGGCTGAGATGCCATGGCCTTGCGGGGGATGATGATGATGATGATGATGATGATGATGATGATGATGATGATGATGATGATGATGATGATGATGATGATGATGATGATGATGATGATGACTTTTGGCTTCCCAATTTGACCCCCATGTACAAACGTGAGCAAGCCGCCATCTTGCAATGCTGCAAGTGACAGGCGGGCTGGCACCTCAACGCGCGTGTATTGCCTCGAGCCCCGCTTTTGGCAGTCATGCCGTGCTGCTGTCAAGATCGATTGACGCAGTGATGTTGGGTCACCCCAATCCCCTAGCATTGCAGTCGCCGAGCCGCGCCAGTCCCACAGGCTAAGGCTACAGGGAGTCCGCTGGCTGTGCAGCGGCCGCGCTTGCAGTCTGGCGGCGCCAGCTACGCTGAACGCGGTGCCATCCAGCAGGCGAGCTGCCAGATCGAGGCAGACGTCTGAAGGCTGGGATGGGCGCTGGCATGCTAGCTAGCATCTTTCGACAAACGAGCACGACATACCGCGAACCTCAAATCTAGATGCCTTTGGGACGCCCAGAGTACGTACAGAAAGGGTATGATACACAACGACACATGCTGTCGAGATACCGACAGCGGCCGCTGCTGGGCAGGCGACTTTTGGTCTGAAGTCGACCACGTCCGAAGTGACACCAGCAGCGAGTCCTCTGCAGAATGGGCAGGAACAAGAACTGCTGTCCCCAGATTCGGCGGCGCACACACGGGTGGGGAGAGGAGGGCATGCTTCTTAGAAGGAGGCTGCTTCTCAGAGGGCGCCCGCCCTACATCCACAGACAAATCCCGCGCCTCCTGGAAAGCAGGGTGCTTCTAGAAAACCTTCCCCCCTCCCCCTACCCCGCTCTGCGAATAGCTGAACAGAAGCTGCTGGCCCCAGATCTCCGACGTCTTGTCTTTTCCACGTGGGCCCCCGGAGCTCTATGGACACCTTCCCTGGGACCAGCTTCTGATCCCAAATCGTTTTTGTTGACGGCCCCGGGGCCTGGCAAAGGCCCCAAGGGGTCGAAAACTGCAAAACACCTCCCGTCGTGTCTGTCTCCCGACGCGAGCATCTCTGGGCCACCACGCTTTCCGTGCCCATCTCAATCCTCCAGGCGGCCCTGATGACCAGGGCGCCTCGGGAAGGCTGCAAGGCCGGCGCCTGTGTGCTCAGGCCCTCATGCACCGACGGGCGCCGGCCGGGCGAGCCAAGAGGGCCAGACACCGTGGCTGGTGATAGGAGAAAAGAAAACGACAACCATGGCCAAGACTGAACGCGGAAACGTCAACGTCGATCTTGGTCATCGTCCATCTTGGTCATCGTCAACTCGCTGATCATCCTCGCGAACTGGCGACTGCCAACCTGGACCATGACCAAGATCGGCGTTCGACCAAATCCCGCGACGTCTTGGTCATGGTCATCGTGTTTCTTCTCTCTAACTGAATTACTAGCCGCACCCGGCGTGCACCCCAAGCAGTCCGGGCGCGTCACGCGTGGCTTCAGGCAGCTGCCGCCGCGTGGCTCCAGAGGCGGCGAGCCCAAGCCTCCCACGCCGTGCTTGCAAGTGGCAGAGGAAGACGAAACGCCATGGCTATAACCTTTCGACGGTCCGCGCGGATTTCTCGGGTCGGCACTGGACCCCCCGCCCTGGCACGCGGAGCGCGCCTAGGGCGGCGCCAGAGGCGCCGCCAGGGGGGCCCAGCGCAGATCGAGGAAATCCGCGCGGACCGTCGAAGCTTTATGCTTATGCCTTGCTGTCTTCTCCGAAGAGCCCAGCGCAGATCGAGGAAATCCGCGCGGACCGTCGAACTTTTGTGTTTAGGCCATGTTGTCGTCTTCGAAGAAGGCGGCCCTTGGACTTCCCAGCCCCTCCCTCCCCAGCGGTCGCTCCTCATCCCGGGCCGTCTCCTGACAGCCCTTGGGCCCGGGAGCAGCCCCTGGAGGCACAGAAACCAATCACGACGACTGCACAAACACAAACCTTTTGAGTCCACATGCGTTTTCGGGATCGCTGCTGGACTTAGCTGCCCCGATACGCAACACGCAACACGCAGCGTATTGATACCGAGCGCAACACGCAGACTGAAAAACGTGGATCTGACGCGGTGCGTTGGCCAAAGCGTGGGTAAACACGTTGAGCCAAGTTTTCCGTCGCAGCGCGGCAGAGGCAATCCGCACGCGCGTCCAGGCAACGCGGGCTACAGTGTTCCGAATGGTACCGCATGCAAGAGGAGGGGAGAAGACGAGAGGCGGCCGCACAGTCAGGAGGAGGGACGTTGAGCCAGCACGCTACGTATTGACACGGACGTCTTTAGCACGGCACGTATTGCACACCAGACCCCCCCCCGACGTCGTGATTTTTTTCACAACGTCGACCCCCAGAGGTCTGGACCCCTTCCCCAGGACTGGTTTCTCGTCCCGAGTCTGTTCCTGACGGTCCCGAGGCTCGGCGAGGGCTCCCAGAGGCCGAAAATAACGACAAATCTCCCGTCGTCATTTTTTGTCCTAGTTCGAGGTGGTCTGGGCATCAAGACGGGCGTATCGAGGCAGCCAAGCTGCTGCATCCCCTCCGCTGGCGCGCGGGCCGCGCTGGGCGGGTCCAGCGGCGGCCGCGAGAGAGCCGCGTGGACCTCCGACAGCTGACGCCCGTGCAGTTCCTGTGGCTCGAGCGCCGACGGAGAAGGAAGAGCCCCTGGTGCGGGGAGAAGGATGAGGAGGACGGGGGGGAGGAGGAGGAGGAGGAGGAGGAGGAGGAGGAGGAGGAGGAGGAGGAGGAGGAGGAAGAGGAGGGAGGAGGAGGAGGAGGAGGAGAGGAGGAGGAGGGAGGAGGAGGAGGAGGAGGAGGGAGGCAGAAGGGCCCCGAACCCTTTGGGAGGGGACCAAGGTTCCCAGACCCGCTCGAATCGTGAAAAAATCACGGCGGGAGGTCTTGTCCGCTATTTTCGGCCTCTGGGGGCCTCGCCGGGCCTCGGGACCGTCAAGAAACGACTCGGAACGAGAAACCGGTCGCGGGGAAAGGGTCCAGACCTCCTCCTCCTCCTCCTGCTCGTCCGCCTCCTCCTCCTCCTCCTCCTCCTCCTTCTCCTCCTCCTGCTCTTCCGCCAAATCACGACGTCGGGGGTCTGGGGAGCCCCGAGCCCTGTGGGAGGGGAGCCAAACACATTAGGGGCAGGGTGCTCTTCTTCTGCAGAGGTATCGAAGCACACCGCGGGCGGGGGGGTAAGTGAGGCCACGTCTGCATCGCGCTATTAGGGCTAGGGGACCCTTTTGTTCTCGACGACCCTGGGCCGAGCCAGAACACGACGTCCGAGGAGGAGGAGGACGACGAGGAGGAGGAGGAGGACGACGAGGAGGAGGAGGACGACGAGGAGGAGGAAGAGTAGGAGGAGGAGAGGGAGGAGGAGGGAGAGGAGGAGGAGGAGGAGAGGAGGAGGAGGAGGAGGAGGAGAGGAGGAGGAGGAGGAGGAGGAGGAGGAGGGAGGAGGAGGTGGAGGAGGAGGAGGAGGAGGAGGAGGAGGAGGAGGAGGACGTCGGAGGAGGGCGACCTCTGATGTCTTTTTAAGGCGGGGCTTCCATGAGAAGTCTCGAGCCCCTCCCCTGGGGCCCGCTTTCCAACCCGAGTCGTTTTCTGACTGCCCGGGGGCCTGGCGAGGGCCCCCAGAGGCCGAAAACGGCGAACCAGCTCCGTCCCCGGAGAGCCGACGCCGCGAACAGGTTGCAACGTTGCAAAATCACGCCTGGAGCCCTGGACCCCGTCTTTCTGCTGCACTGTTCGAGCCCGATCGATCCGTGAGGGTTCCCGGGCCCGAAGCGAGGCAACATCGCCCATGGTGAAAAATGTGACGCCAGGTTTTGTTGAGGGATGACGGCAGAAAACACCCCCCCATAATAATCACCCCGACACGCGAAGCCGCTTAGCAAACGCAGCCACGGAGGGAACTGAACAGGACAGGGCTGTTCAGCAAACGCCCGGGGCCGTTTGTGAGATGTCACTCGTCGGGTCCGGGCGGTTTGCTCCTCCCTTGAACGGAGTTATCGGGGAGGAGGAGGAGGAGGAGGAGGAGGAGGAGGAGGAGGAGGAGCCCAGTGAGCTGGAGGTCTGGGAGCACGGCCTGGGAGATCTGGGCTGGCACGCGGTGCAGAGGCCTCAGGCGGCGGGCGCCGCAGCTGGCTCAGCGGCGCCCGCGGGCGGGGAGGCCTCCTCCTCGGCGGCGCGCGCGGGGGCGGCGCGCGATAGCGCGACCGACCGTCCTGGCATTCTTATAGTCATACCACGAAATGCTCTTAGAACCCAAAAATGTTCTACGAACAAAAACAATGTTCTTCTTAAAGCATAAACCCGATGTGGTAAAACAAGACAGCCCCGGCCAGAAATGTTTTAAGAACATTTCGTGGGAACCACAAAAGGTTCTTAGAACATTGTCTGGTGGGGCTATAGGCCCGCCAGGACGCTTCGCCACTGCTTGAGGTAGTGCTCTGGAGAAGGAGCCACTGAATAGGGAATCCAAGGTCTGCAAGGCCGGCGGAATACCAACGGAAACTCGGCCAGGAGGCATGCAGCGCTACTCCCGCGACTTCTCCCGGGGTGCGTTCCGACAAAAAATTCGAGGCGAATCCAGGGGTGGCGACGACTGCAGTCTCAAACAAATCCGCGAGGAGCGCCGATAGTTTATTCCTACCTAGGCTCTGCCTCGAGGGTTCTTACTTTGTTTGCTTAAAGGGGCCGGGCAGTGCGGGCCGCCCGTGCGGTTCCCCCAGTCCCCGTCCCGTGGTTCCCCCAGTTGCGCCCCCTGGGTTCCCCTAGTTTAGCTTAGCTTAGCTTAGCTTAGCTTAGCTTAGCTTACCTTAGCTTAGCTTAGCTTAGCTTAGCTTAGCTTAGCCCAGCAAAGCTTAGCTTTGCTTAGCATAGCTGAGCGTCGCCTTGCCTAACTTAGCTTAACTTAGCTTAGCTTAGCTTAGCCCATCATAGCTTAACTTAGCTTATCTTAGCTGAGCTGAGCTAGATCGTCTCATCTTAGCTTAGCTTAGTTTACCTCTTCGTAGCTTAGCTTCGCTTCGCTTAGCTTAGCTTATCCCATCTTAGCTTAGCTTAGCTTAGCTGGGCTTAGCTTGGCTTTGCTTAGCTTAGCATTGCTTAGCATAGCTTACCTTAGCTTAACGCAGCGCAGCATAGCGCAGCGCAGTATTAGCACAGCATAGCATAGCATAACCCAGCATCGCATAGCATAGCATAGCATAGCATAGCTCAGCATATCATATCATAGCATAGCGCAGCATAGCATAGCATACCATAGATGCACGCGTAGGTGTAAATGTAGCTGTCGGTGCAGATCTAGATGTTGCTTTCCTAAATGCTCCAACTCCTAGGTAGGGTCGCACTGGGATAGTTTTTGTAGCGTTTTTCTTCTTCGAATCTGGGGGAATCAAAGATACCTATACGGCTACTGCCCGGGGCGCGCTCTGACCAAGATGCTGAAGCGAATCCAGGCGGTGGCGACGAGGGCCTCCCAAGAAGCCCAAAGCGGAGAAAAACGAGGGAAGGGTAGCAGTACGGGTGCCTGTTCCTCGTCGGAGATGCTCGACTGCATAGTCGGACCTAGGACAGAATGACATCTTCCAAGGACATGAGACCCTCCGCCGGCAAACAAAAAGAGGAGCATCCGAGGGTACCATCTTCCAGGACGCATAAGGACATCCACCATACACGAAGAACCTCAGGTACCCTCCCCCGGCCGACCTCGATCTTGTGCCTCGGTCCGACTGTACGTTCTCCTCCTCTCAGATGCTCGGACTGTAGTAGTGTGCTGGGGTATATGGGTACACTTGGACGCCCGAAATGGGTACAGACAAAAAGGGCACAATGCTCAACACCAGATGTGGTCCAAAAGCGCGGGAGGCCGCTGTCGGACGCGCGGCTGTTTGACTTCAGTGATAATGAGAATGTCCGCGGCGGCGCGGACAACGAGTCCTGTTCAACATGATCAGGCAGTGCTGTTGGGCATCGCGCCCGCTCTTTCCGCACCCATTCCGATCGTCCCGAATACATCTTCCTCCTCGGAGCACCGGCGGAGTTCTACAGGGGGGGGCCCTCCCACCTCGCACGGAGGCCCCCCCCCTTGGAGCTTCCGCGGGCCCTTCCTCAGAGAGGGCCCTGGCCCTCCGGCCCAGAGCTCCGAGGCCGCGCGCTCATCTTTTGCTTTGTCGCAGCGTGGGCCCTCGGAGATCTGGAGCTCGTCCCCGGGACCAGATTCTCATCCTGACTACAGTCGGGCCGCTGTCGTAAGGAATCCCAGACAAGGAGCGAGGCCCCATTTCCCACAGGTTTCGTTTGGACTCCCCATGTTTGTTTACTCCAGCTAGGAGATATGGTACCTGGACAGGTCCACGGTCAAGGAGGGCTGACCTTCACTCCCCATGATGGAAGACCTGAGGACGGCCTAAGACAAACTGCAAAACGGTTCAGGAACACCGAGCCCCCCCCGGACACCCTGGGGCCCGGCGACGGCCCCCGAAGGCAGAACACGACGACCCACCGTCCCAGTATCCCTGGAAGCCTACTACGACATTTCCTGAGAACAGCAGGGTTGTCCAAGACCAAGCGCACTGTTCCTAGAATGTGAAGCCGATCGGATAAACATTAGGATTGTCTCAGCCTGGAACGCTCAGAGAACAGCATGTGCAAACCACACAACAGTGAAGGACAACGAGAGGGGGGGACTGGCACGGGGGGGACATCGACTTGGAATCGGCGATGCATCGCCGATAGATCGGCGATATGCCCAGGATGGTGAATCCGCACGTTCCTGGGCAGGGTGGAGCTATTCGGCCCCTATCGGCGATCACTGGGCGATTGGGGGTCGATGCATCTCCCCTATGCCTATCCTCCCCTTACCGATGTCCCTGAAACAAGTCCTTGGGACAATTTCAGGCGGCGGGGGAGGGATGGAACAGGATCGGACCCGGGAAGATCTGTCAACAGGGGGGGATGGAACCAAATCTGCTCAGAATCGCGGGGGCGGTGATGGGGGGTCACAGAAGTGGGGGGTACAGAAAATTCCGAAAGGGGCCCTTTAGGGCCCATTTTGGGCACCAACTAGCTCCAAAAGGGCTCTACAGGAGGACTCCTTGGGGCCTTTCTCCACCCCCTACCTAAGCCACCCCCAAGTACCACTCGCCCGAGAATCGGTCCATGGACCCCCCCCCCTGGTGTCGATGTGATGTAATTTTGTTGACCCCGATTCCGTGTTTCACGGCCCTGGCGCCCGAAAGCTGTCCCTGGAGACCCCCAAACCCGGATCCTCGGACCTGCCCGCCGTTCCTGCTTGCCAGAACCCATGCTGTGCCACGTCAGACTGCCACTGGCTCCAAGCTAAAGCCTCTGCCTGGCTATGTTCTGAACGTTGGATGCCTGGGGTGATGGGGACCGCGCGTATGTACACCAAGGTATCTGGGCCCTGTCGCCTGGGGCTTGAGAAGAACTCCACAAGGCAACGTCTAGTGTAGAAGTTCCGTTCTGCGGGCGACAGGTGCTGAGCAAAAGATGTATGCTTTGTTTGGGCGGCCATTTGCCACTGAGTGGTGGACAATTGGTGCGCCGTTTGTTCTCGACGCGCCCCCGTGGACGACGCCGACACCAAGGCAAACCCACGGCAAGGCCTGCGCCCCGCGCCCCAGGTAGACGCAGCCCGCACCGCGGCAAACCCACGGGAAGCCCACCGCGCCCGAGGCGGCGTCTGCCCTGGTGGCCGAGGCGCCCTCCCCAACACATCAGGCCGCGCTGGGGAACAGATGGCGCGGTGACAACTTTGAGTTTGGGGGAGCGGGGGAGTGTGTCCACACATTGTTTCCCTCTGCAATGATATACTGTACATTTTCCCAGCCCCAGGGAGAATCCCTCCGCCCGTCCTCGGAGGGCCGCCGCCGCCGCCGCCGCCCCCCCCCCCCCCCCCCCCCTGCGCCCCCCCCACTGCGGGCGGCGCCCTCCCCCCCCCCTCCGCGCGCGCCGCAGGCCTCTGCTGGCGCCGCCTCCTCCATGGGCGCGCCAACCTCCGATCCGCAGGGGGGGGGGGGGGGGGGGGGGGCGCACCAACACACAGACAAACACAAACGCAAACACAAGCACAAACACAACCACAATCAAGAACACAACCACAAACACAAACACACATACAACACACAAACATGGCTATAACCACAACCACAACCACAACCAAAGCCACAACCACAACCACAAACACAAACATATACACAAACACAAACACACTCACAAACCCAAACAAGACACAACCACAACCACAAACACAAACACAATCACACATAAAATCACAGACGCAAACATGGACACGGATACATACACAAACGCAATCACAAACAGAAACACGAACACAACCACAAACACAAACACAAGCACACTCTCTCAAACCCACACACACAGTGCCCCGGCTTGGGTCCCCGTCCCCTTCCTCCTCGTCTTCGTCCTCCTCCGTCCATCTCCCTAGAGGATAGCTCTACTCCGTCGCGCCCCAGACGTGTTAGCAGGGCAGGCCGGGCGTTTCGCCTGAGACATCCTCACCAATCATGCATGATCCTGAAGTGTAAAATCAACGAGGAGGAGGAGGAGGAGGAGGAGGAGGAGGAGGAGGAGGAGGAGGAGGAGCAGGAGGAGGAGGGGGAGGGGGGGGGGGGAGGAGGGGGAGGAGGAGGAGGAGGTGCTGCAAGGATGGAGGGCGGGTGGTTTCCAACAGTAAGCTCTCGCCTCAGAGCCGCGCACGTTCGCCCCCCAAGTCTGCAACAACGCCAGGGATGGAGGGCGGGCCCAGGTCCAAACGTGGCTCTCGCTTCGGCGCCGCGCGTATTCGTTCGACCACCCGAGCAGTTTTGCATAGCGGAGGGGGGATCCAGTTTCAAAATGTGGGTTTTGCCCTCAAGTTCTCCTGAGGCAGTTCGCAACAGTTTCAAGTAAGGGCTCGCAAGGCTGACATCCCAAGAACGGTGCTCGGCCTAGGTTGAGGAGCGCCAGGACGCAACGGTCACGTTGATTTGAAGTGTTGACGTCCCAGGAGTAATGTGTAATGTCGTGGTACGATCTCAGATTGTCAGGACGCAGCAGTCATGTTGAGTCGCCGCGTTGAAATCCCGATGCTATCGCACGATTAAGGATTATCAGGCGGTTGGCTTTCAATCGGGCGCTCTAGGAGCGCTCTGGAACGCTCTGAAACGTCCGCGGCGCCCGATGTTTCCTCCAAACCCGTCGCTTCTCTGCGATTTGCGGTTTATGTCGGTCCGATCGTGTCTCGATTCTGCCTTCGTCTCAGGGGGTAGGGCAGGTACGCAACATGTTGCGTGTGGCTGGTTTTGGCCCTGCCGCCAGGCCCTTTCCTCGATAGATGTTGGCGCCGCGGGCGCTGGGAGGCGCCAGGGAAATCAGCTACGCGAGCTGATTCGCTAACACCCCGCCCTGGACACCTGCCGATCTGACTGTTTAAATCCGCGCCCCAGACGTCTCACGGCACCCGGCTCCTATCAGCAGAACTGTAGGTGACCGAAAAAAAAACATGACCGAAAACGTGCCCGAAGCTGTGACCGAAAACATGGTGCGCCCGAAATTTTATCCGCATTTGAAAATCATCTAGGTTTCGAACCGAACATTTCAGTCACACTCAGGCGCAGTCGAAAAATTCCTGAAGTCCCGACCCCTTCTCCAGGGAAGCTTGTGATCGTCCAGGATCCATGCTTGTATGGCCCTGGGCTCGACTAGGGCCCAGAGAATTCGAACTCGAGGAAAAACGGTTGGATTGGATAACAAAAAAAGTATCGTCGGAGATCGGGGCTTGCTTCCCCTACCCCCCTTCCGTCCGCTTCGTGAGCTGATTTGCTCAGTCCCTTGTGCTAGCCCCCACTTCCGTCCGACCCGAGAGGGAGGAAAGAGAAGGAGGAGGCGAGAGGGAGGGGGAGGGGGAGGAGGAGGAGGTCGGGTGAGGAGGGGGAGGACCAGTGCAAACCCAAGATGCATCAACGAGATTGCGATCAGCTCTCCCTCCAAGTTCCCTCTGCATAGGTCCCTGTAAGGATGATACCCTATCCCGAGCGAAGTGAACCCCACCCTCCCCCTCAGAAATCGTGGGGGGTAGGGGTAGGCTTCGCATGCGGTCCCCTACCAAGGCTGAACGATCCACGAGGCGTTCTCAGGATGGCCCACTGCAGGCATTGCACCGGTGTTTGTGGTGCACACTGCGGAGGAGCCTGAAGGTCCCCGAAAGGTTGCCGGAGGCCTACGGATGTATCTCCGGAAGCCTCTGGAGGCCCTCTCGCGGCCTTTCGAAAGGCCTCTCTGGAGGCACTCTGGAGGCCCGAACCCAATCATTCGACTATGCTTTTTCAGTTCACGGTCCCGAGGAGGTCCCGACCTTAGGGCCATATTTCAAAATCCAGGATCGATCTTATTTTGCTCTGGTGGCTCGAACACGAGCCCCAAAGGCCGAGATCGAGGAAAGACACTGGGATGGAAAAAAACAAGTCTTCGGATGTCTTAGGAGGCTACATGCGAATCCTACTCCACCCCACCATTTCCAAGGGGGGAGGTGGGGTTCACTTCGCTCGGGATCTCCCGAACGAAGTGAACCCCACGTCCCTCCTTGGAACTCGTGGGGTGGTGGGGTAGGGTTCGCATGTGGCCTTCTATATCTGGGAGGGTGGAGGTGCAGAGATGCCCTCTGCGTCTCCCTGCCAATGCAAAGGCGGGTCACCACTAGAGGAGCTGCCACCCCCTCGAGGGGGACAAGCTCTCAGGACCTCCAAAGTCTCTCAGAACCCCCCGACACGCTCAGGCCGTCCAGAATCTCCTCGACCCCCAGTCCTCGAACCTTGCGTTGCAGATCTCCGGGAGACCTTGGTTGTCCTGTTGCGCCGCCACCCTCGTCAAATCCGCATCGATTCCACGTCGAATCCGAGTCGAATCCAAATCGACTCCAAATCGAATCCGCGCCGTATCCACGCCGATTCCGCGCCGACCACGTGTCGGAGATCAGAAAAGACCGCAACTTGAAGGACAGACAAGGCGCCCCCCGAAGATGCAATGTAACGGATTCGACCCCAAGTAGGAGCTGGCGACCCCGATCCTTCCACCTCGATTCTCGATGATCTTTGATCCTCGATCCTCCCCTCGATCCTCGATCCTCCTGACAATCCCCCCTCAAGCCTCGATCCTCATCGAGTCTCCCTCCTCCTCGAAAAGCTCGAGCCTCGGGAGGAGGAGGCGCCCCCCCTCCGGTGGTGAACCCCATGCCCAGCCCTCGATCCTCCTCCTCGACCCACGATCATCATCGATCCACGGTCCTGTCCCTCCACGATCCTCATCGATCCACGTTCGTCCTCGATCCTCCTCATCGATCCACGCTCCTCATCGATCCACAATCCTCACGATCCTCCCCACGATCCGCTCGGGGGGCGAGCAGCGACCTAGAAGCGGCGATGCGTTGCGGGTAGATCGGAGATCGGCCCCCCGATGGCGAATCCGCACTCCTGGGTGCGATGGGCTGTGGGCGAGCGGGCCCCTATCGGAGAGAAGTAGAGGTTAGTGTGATGTTGCTCCCGTCCTACTCAAGGACCGCATCCCAGAAATAATTTCGAGCACCCGGAAAAGTGTCGAAAGAGTGTCGAAGCAGTGTCGAAACGGTGTCGGGCGAGTGTCTCCCAGGGCCCGGCACGTGAAAACCCTTGAGTTTCGGTACTTTTTCATGGTGCTCGAAATTCTTTCTGGTGATCAAGGCTCAAGTAGGTTGGAACATCATAAGGTTAGTGGAGATTTGGGGTCGATGCGTCCCCTCGAATGTGGAGCGAGAGAGGATCAAAGCGACTGTACCTTCATGCTTGGGACCATATTGTGCATGGCGGCGCCGCCACGGAGGTGATACCGTGGCGGCGCTGGCATGCACAAAATGGTCCCAAACATGAACATAAATGCGCTTTGATGCCCTCTCGCTCCGTACTCGAGGAGAGAAGCGGAGGGCTGGTGGAAATTTGGGGATCGATGCGCCCCTTCTGACTTGGCTTGTCCCACCCAGAGATCCTCGCCGTCTGGTCCTCTGGCCTCCTTCTCGGGTCCCCGGCTGCCGCTCGGGGCGATCCGGCCCCACCCCCCCCGCACGCCTCTCGGCGAGGCGCGAGAGGAGCGGGAGGGAGGGAGGAGCGGGAGGGAAGACGGGGAGGGAGGAGCGGGAGGGAGGGGCGAGGTAGGGAGGGAACACACCAACTTTCCATCACCGCAGATACTCCAGAAAGAAGGTAACATCCAGACGCCGCTCTCGGCACAGTGGCACGGCCGGGGAGAAAGGAGGAGGGGGACAAGGCGAGGGAAGGAATACATCCCACCCCCCCCCGACGAAGACATCCAGAAATCCATCAGCCCATCCCCTCCTGACGTTGCTCCTGAACGGCGTGTCCGCCGTTGAGGCGGCGGGGGCTCTGGATGGGGCCCTAGGAGATCGATCAAGCGGCGGGGACATGGACAACTCCACTCAACATCGGTCCCCGGACCCCTCCCGGAGTCCATCTGGTGCAGCTTTTCACCCCAGATCCGTTTTTGACGGCCCCGCGCGCGTAAAAACGGCCCACGAGGACCGAGAAGGGCCACAGACATTTCTCGTAACAGGGGATATGTCGGCCCCTATCCCAGGCTTCGTGGGGTGTGCGAATGGACAAGAAATCCCACCAGCCCTTTAGGGCGTAGGTGGTCTAGGGAGTTTCCTCTGCCAACCCCCTTCTTCCCCTTCGGGGAGGGGTTTACCCCTCCCCTTACCCCTCCCCACTGACCTGGACGGGGCCGGTCGCGAGGTGTCAGAGCGTCCAAGATGGCCCAAGACAGCTCCAAGAGCGAACAGGCGAGAAAACACAAAACATTGATTTTACCTAGGTTTTGGAAGGATTTTGGCATCTTGGGGGGGTCCAAGAGGCGACTCGAGGCACTCTGGAGGGGCGGGGCTAATAAGGAACCCCCCCTTCTTTGATAGATCTCCTCCAAGATGGCCCAAAGAGCGCCCCGAAGGCTCCCAAGAGCGCCCCAAGAGCGCCTCAAGAGGGCCCCAAGAGACCCCAAGAGGCCCCCAAGAAGCCTCCAAGACGTTGCCAAGAGACCCCCAAGAGGCCCCAAGAGAGTCCAAGATGACCCAAGACGGCTCCAAGAGCGAAAAGGCGAGAAAACACAAAACATTGATTTTACCTAGGTTTTGGAAGGATTTTGGCCTCTTGGGGGGGTCCAAGAGGCGACTCGAGGCACTCTGGAGGGCCGGGGCTAATAAGCACCCCCCCCTTCTTTGATAGATCTCCTCCAAGATGGCCCAAAGAGCGCCCCGAAGGCTCCCAAGAGCGCCCCAAGAGCGCCTCAAGAGGGCCCCAAGAGACCCCAAGAGGCCCCCAAGAAGCCTCCAAGACGTTGCCAAGAGACCCCCAAGAGGCCCCAAGAGAGTCCAAGATGACCCAAGACGGCTCCAAGAGCGAAAAGGCGAGAAAGCAACAAACATTGATTTTACCTAGGTTTTGGAAGGATTTTGGCCTCTTGGGGCGCCCAAGAGGCGACTCGAGGCACTCTAGAGGGGCAGCGCTAATTGGGGAACCCCCCTTCTTTGATAGATCTCCTCCAAGATGGCCCCAAGAGCGCTTCGAAGGCTCCCAAGAGCGCCCCAAGAGCGCCCCAAGAGAGCCCCAAGAGGCCCCAAAAGGCCCCCATGAGGCCTCCAAGAGGCCCCCAAGAGACCCCCAAGAGGCCACAAGAGGCCCCCCGAGATACGCAAGAGGCCCCCGGGACCGCCAAGAGGCCCCAAAGACGGCCCAAGAGGCCCCCAAGCTCGCCATTGTCCTCCTCCTCCTCCTCTTTTTCTTCCTGCTCCCTCCTCCCCCTCCCCCTCCTCCTCCTTCTCCTCCTCCTCCTCCTTTTCCTTTTCCTCCTTCTCGTCCTCCTCGTCCTCGCAGTCCTCCATCTCCTCCTCCTTATCTTCCCCCTCCTCCTCCTCCTGCTCCTCCTCCTGCTCCTCCTCTTCCTCCTCCTACTCCGACGACGACGGCTCCTCCTACATCCTCCCCCTCTTGGGGCATATGGCGGCTCACCCCGCCCTTTGTTCTTCTGCATGCTCCCCCGCTTCCCTCATAACCTCCACTCCCCTGGGACTCATTTCTGGACGGGCTGGTGGGGATACGCGAAGCGTCTAGAATTTGGGACCAACCCTGGGATAGCGTGCATCCTCGATAGGGATGCGTCCAAATAGCCCCCTTGGGGTGTATCCCCAGGCTTCCCGTCTCTTCTGAGCGGCCTCCTGTTTCGTCGAAGGTCGGGGATCGGGAGAGAAACAACGCTTGCGATCTCGAACCCCGACCCTCGAGCCTGGTCCCTCCCCTTCCAGCTCGCCAGAACCAGTGCATGGGCCACCTAAGACCCCCAGCAAGGCTCCAATCCCCACGCTGCTCCGGAGCGGCGTGTCCGCCCACGTCCTCCCCCTCGCTCGGCGGCGAGCCCATGGGAAAAAGTGAGAGGGAGCAGGGTTTCCGAGAACCCCCTGGGTGGGTTCTCGGGAAGGGGTTCTCGCAAGGCCTGCTGGGGGGTCCCTCTGTCGCGTCTCCTCCTCCTCATCATTATCAGCATCATCATCATCATATTCGCCCTTCGTCTCCTCCTCCTTCTCGTCCTCCACCTCCTCCTCCTCCTCCTCCTCCTCCTCCTCCTCCTCCTCCCCCTTTTCCTCCTCCTCCTCCTCCTCCTCCTTCTCCTCGTCATCCTCCTTCTCCTCCTCGCCACCCTCACCGCTGTCCTGCCTGTTCTCTCCATGCAACTCTCCTGCCCATGCTTCCGGACCGCCCTAACCTTCTGCCCCTTTTTCGATGGGATCCATGTGGGTCCCCCTGCATTGCGTAATGCTTCCATGAATTTCGATGAAGTATTCCGAACCTTCCGCGGAGGTCGGCAGGTATGGAAGGTGGAGGTGGAGCGGAAGCCCTCGTGCCTTCTGACAAGTTTGCTGTGTCTTCGGGGAAGGGTCAGAAGACTTCTCAGAAGGCTCGAGGCTCTCTGCGACTTCTGAGAAGGTTCGCCCCCTCTGCATCACCCCCTGCCCGCCGAACGGCCTCGGCTACACGCAAGGGTGACCCTGGGCAACAGTGACCTTGGGTGCGCGGCTTCAGGGGGCCGCGAAGGGGGCAAAATCCATGCGCAACAACTGCTAGGATCGCATCGAGCTCAGCGACCTGGGGGCCCAAGGGTCCGAACATATCCATAACCGCCGCCTGCCGACGTGCCCGAAGGTAGAAGCCTCCCAGATGGGGTCGGAATAGATGGGGTCGGAGGATCGCGCCGCATCGCCGATACATCGGCGATGCATCGGCGATGCACCAGCGATGCATCGTCGACGTCGGGGATGCATCGGCGACGCCGACGTGAAGCAGATCGGGCTCCACATCGAGCCGCATCGGCGATGCGGCGCGATCCCCCGACCCCGTCTACCCCGACCCCATCTAGGAGGCCTAGCGAAGGTCGACCCGTCAATCCGTGGATCTGGCGCGCTAGCGAGAACGGCGCCATGTCTGGCATCCGTTCCCGCCCCGCTCCAGCGCGGCACCGTGCCCAGCTCCTCGGCCCGAGGGCGGGCAAAACCAGTCTTGCACCGCACCGCTCCCAGGTCGAGGTTCGACGGCACCTCAGCGAACCCGCGCCAAAGGTCCCTCCGGCCAACGGTCGCTCTTACGCGCAGCCGATCCCCCCCGACCCAGACATCCGACGCCTCGATTTGTTCGAGACACGGGCCCCCGACCTCCCGACCGCTTCCCCGGGGCCGATTTCTCATCCCGATTCGTTTTCAGACGGTCCCGAGGCCCAGTGAGGGCCCCGAGAAAACAAAAACTACGAAAAAACACCGTCTCGATTGTCTCGAGCTCCCCAGACTCCGAGACGCTATTTTTTCACAACATCGACCCCGAGAGGTCTCGACCCCTTCCCCAGGACTGGTGTCTCGTCCCGGATCGTTTTGTTGACGGTCCTGAGGCCCAGCGAGGGCCATTAGAGGCCGAGAAGAGCGAAAAACCTCCCGTCGTTTTTGTTTGTCCAGACTCGGGGGGAGAGCATGCTGCTTCGCATGACATTGGCGCCAGTGAGGGCAATAGTGGATTGGATCCGTAAGTGGATCAGCCTGGCTCTTTGATGCTGGAAGCTATGCTGCTTCTCTGAGTTGTGGGTCGGCTCATGATGCCGGCCCCTGCCCACCCCGTCCCCCTCCCCAGGGACTTCGCATCCCCGGATCGTTTTTTGACAGTCCTGAGCCCCAGCGAGGGCCACCAGAGGCCGAGAATAGCGAAAAACCTCCCGTCGTGATTGTAACCTGACTCGAGGGGGTCTGGACCAAAGGTCCCTCCAGCGTTAGGTCGGCCCTGTCCCCCTACAGGTGGATTTTCGACGAAAAAATAAAGAGTACCCTACACATGCTCAAAAATGATCAAAAAAACAAAAAATCGTCCCCTGATATTTTCTGACTATTTTTGAATCTTCCCGTGTAGAGGGACAGGCCCGACTTAACTCCAGCGAAAGGTCGCGCTCACGCGCAGCCGACCCCCCCGCCGCCCGCGCCGCGCCCACGGGGCCGCGCCTCCGCCTCGGCCAGCGGGGCCTCGGAGGCAGGCTCGGGCTCGGGAGGCGGCGTCAGCCGCGCCTTGAGCTCCTGCGCCGAGGCCAGCGCCCCAGCCTGCGGCGCACTCCTCCTCCTCCTCCTCCTCCTCCTCCTCCTCCTCCTCCTCCTCCTCCTCCTCCTCCTGCCCCTCCTCCTCCTCCTCCAGCCGCCGTCCCTGCCCGAGAGATTCGCAGGCGGCGCCAGAGACCCCCCCGCGGACAGCAGAGGGGGGCGCTCAGCCATGGGAGCTGAGCTCTGTGGCCGAGGATGCTACGCCTGATCGGTTGGAACCCGCAGTCGGCCACGGGAATGAGGTTGGAGGGGATTCTCACAGTGTGTGCAGCGATCGATGTTATGCTCTTCGCAGGCACACAAGCATGCAGTCGACGTGCGCAGGCCCCACTCCAGAGACATGTCATGGGCAAGCTCGTGGTGGAGGCAGAGTACAGCCCTGGGCAGTTGACGAACAAAAGCACGGGCTGTGCAATTGCACTTGGACGAGGATTTCAGCAGTCCCACATCAGACAGATTTGGGGCAGCCCTGATCAAGCATGGGGACGAGCACTCGGCTTGAGGGTCAAAAAGCAACATCTTGATTATTGTTTCATCGTCATCTACCTCCCCCCCCCCAGCCGAAGGGCAGGAACGACGTGGGCCACTACCTCACCACCGTGCGCACCCTCGCCACGTGGCTGGACCGAATACTGGATTCGCTCCCACATCGTTGTTGTCCAATAGTATACACAGATGCGAACGATGGCATTGGTCTATGCAGATATACTACGGAATGGCAAACATGTGAGGAGAACGTAGTGGAGAACACAGCCCGTGAGTCACGTAGAGGCGGTGCTGGAGAAGCACTCAGACGAATCGCTGCCAGGCATCATATGTTCGCTTACAACACTCGAGGGCGGCGAGGGCACACTTTTTTTCAGAGGGAGAGAGAGGAAACAACCTCATATAATATATCTTTACGCCGTGGGGATACGCAGAGCAGATCAATAGATGCCACACTCTTCGACGACTGGGGGCACAACTCCAAGCTTACCGAGGGAAACCCCCGCTCGATCACCTACCTCTCTTGCTTGAACTCAACGTATCAAAGGATCCCACGGTCGCTCGCCCACATCGAGAACCGTACTTCGACAACGACAAGCTACTGGATGCATTGAAGGGCGAGGGGGGCGGCAAGGCATCTTTTTCTTATTCGTGTGGAACGTATCTTAGAGGAGCAAATGGAATCATGGCTACCTCTTCTGGACAGTGGCACCCCAGATGCTTTCTTTGCTTATCTTGATAAGGTACTGGTGAGAGCTGGACTCGATTTATTTCGTGAGCAGGCTGACCCAGTTCGTCAAGAACAAAATCAACAGCGCCGCGAACTCCTTAGACGGCGAGCCGAACTGAGGGAAAAAAAGAGTGAGGACCATGCGGACATGCACGGCATTGACACACAGCTGAAGGCCCTCTCTCAGACCCTCAAACTAAGTCGCCGTCGGGAGAATTTGGTGCGAAGAACCAGATCCAAGAGGATATCGAGACAGCGTGGGAACAGAGAAAGGCAGCACTGGCAATGAGGCTTTCGCGCCAGGCAGTCAGGTGCCGCTGTGGTCCAAAAAAGCGAGACCTCATATTAATTCGTACGAGCATGCCCAGCCGTGACGAATGGCTTCAGGTTTGGACCCTTCCAGGACGACAAGGAGGTATGTCAGTAGTCGAAGTTCCTCCTCCTGCACCCCCTGAAGCTGTTTTTCCAGGTCCGCCCCACCCGCCCACCCCCGACGTGATCAACATGGCCCAGGAGGGTTACGAAAGAGTCCAGGAGGCGATCCAGAAGGCCCCAAGAAGAAGAGGAGTCCCGAAAAACACCCCACCCGTGGAATTGTGGCAGATTTTATGCGTCCGAAGAAAAAACTCGTTTGGCAACGTCTGGGTCTCGGAGCTTCAGACAATATTCCAGATATGCAGATTTTTGAAGAAGCGTTGCTGGAAGGCTTTAGAATGATACGGAACCTCGATTTGACTCCATCCCAATGGCATCACAGCAATGGAGTTGCACTGCGTAAGAGCACAGCTCACGGCCCCAAGGGCAAGAGATCGTGCATCTTTTCCCAGCTTTAGGGAAGTCTTTCTACGCCGGCCTGCCGCACGTTCCCGCCGATGAGTTTGACTTCGGCTTTGTCAAGTGGAGACGCCGAGAAGCGCCATACTTGCTGCACAAGCCACCGCATGGAGGCTCACAAGAGCAGGCAGAAGTTTCGCTGCGGGCTTCAAGGATTTGTCAAACGCCTTCGGGACGGGGGACTGGAGGGAGCTCGACAAGACGGTGGGGATATTCGCCTCGACGATCGATGACATCGCACTGCGGAAACAAAGGTATCGAGAAACGCGAGTTAAACTACCGACCAACGATGACGAGGAGGACTTATGGGAGACCCGTATGTGGTGAAATTCTTCTTGGGAGCATTCCGAAGGCCAGTAAAACGATGGATGCAGCTAGATCAACACCCCACCTCCTCAGACCTACAAGCGACTTTAAGATTGCCAGGAACAGGCGAGGACAGACCTCAGCCTTTTAAATACGCAGACGACTTGCTGAAGTTCACGCTCGCACACGATGTTCAGCCCGTCTCCGATTTTCCAGGTGCTCAAGCGCTCAGACGAGATCCTCGATGAGCCCCTGGAGACCATGGGCTATACGCAAAACCTCGACAAACAAGTTTTTCTGTTCCATGTGGGAGGGGAGGGTTCTCTGAAGTGTAGACGATGGATACGAGCAAATGTAGGCAGGGAGCTCGGGGGCAGTCTCCAAGAGGAAGCTCGATACTTAGGCCCGCATATCAACCTATCCTGCACGTCATCCTCGGAAGTTCAGAGGCGTCTAGAAGCAGCTTCAAATGGGTTCTACAACATGGGAGGCTTCAGGGGGCTCTCGGTCCCGTGGAAATGGTCACGCACAGTGTTTGTCGGCATGGTCCAGAATGCTATGCTGAGCGGCCTTGAGGCGCTCGACATTTCAGATGTACAGTACCACAGAATGGACTCGCGACTTGCTCAGCTTGCCCGCGTCCCTCTCCAAGGACGAGGAACGAAGGAGGAGGTCATCTCAGGGCAGGGGGAGGAGGTTCATAAGAAGATCCGCACATGGACGAACGACCAGGTTTTGAAGTTTTGGAAGATCGCCCGTTGCGAGATCGAAATGCGAGTACGACGACTTCAATGGTATCAGGACTGGAGTAAACACCCAAAGGAAAATGCCCATGCGCTCTGCTCTCTGTTCGGTACGATCGGGTTTGAACAAGGGAATGGGGCCCACCCATGCCAACCGACGGTCTACCCAAGGCTGTCGAGACATGCTTCTCCCTGGGCCAAACGCGTTCAGGACGACTTCCGTGTGGCGGTCGCTCAGATGGAGTCTGATCTGCTGCTGCACCTCGCCGACAACCCTCTGGAGTTCTTGGACCCACAAGTGGCTAAATAATTCCGTCGGCTTCATTTTACCGAGTTGCGAGTACGCGAGCTCCGCGCAGCCCCCCCCCGAATATGCACCAGAAGCGCCTGATGGGGAGGAAGAGGCGCCACCTCTACCGTGGAAGTGCGAATGGCCCGACGGGGAAACAACATGTCCTGCTGCCTTTCGTACAAGCGGGACTTACTAGAGCATATTCGACATCGACACAGCGTTCGAAACCTCGGCCATCTACTATCGCCTACCAATGTATGTATCTATTGTTGTCGTTCGTTCGCATCCAGGATCATTGCTGGTCGCCACTTATCGCAATCGGTCACAAAAAAACATATGCAGTACCAGGGGGCCTGCGAAATTCTACGATGTCCAAGCGCCGACGAGTTTAGCATGCACGATATGCGAGTTCGAGGGATCCGACCTTGCCGACCTCTGTAGCCATATTGCCCAGCATCTTCCCGAGCGGCTGACCCCACTTGACCGTGACAACGAGCACGGCCGACGTAGCGATGCCAGGATGGATGAAGCAGCTGCACGAGAGCCCACCCTTGGCAGGGCCACCCGCCTCCAAGAAGCCGCACACGGGGGGGGGGCAAGTCGGAGGACGACAAGAAGCTGCTCTACGTGCTGGCGCGCCTGGTCCTGGCCGACAGCCGCGCCATCGCAGAAGTCATCGGCACGGTCTTCACCACGTTCGAGGTCGCCGACGGCGACGACGGCATGCCAACGGCCCTCCGCGAGGCGGGCAAGCGCTACGACGCGCAGAGCAAGGACTGGAAGGAGAAGCAGGCCCAGGGGCAGAGCATCGACTGGGGCTCGAGGGGCCCACCACACGTCCAGATCTTTTCCGCGGGTGTCTTCTGGGCCGTGAACAAGTTCGAGGGCGATCTGCAGAAGGGGTGGCGCGAGTTCTGGGACGCCGTGATCACGAAGTCCACCCCGCAGCAGTTGTCGGAGCTGGTCCTTCATTTCCGATGGCGCCGGAACAAGGGCAAGAACGATAATGCAGACGTGCCGAAGGGGAGGATCATCTGGGCGTTGGATCCGCATCACGAGCACGCGAACAACCTGCGCCAGCTGATCCTGAAGTCGATGACGGCACTCAATGGAGTGCGCAAAACAGGAGCCGCTCCCCGAGGCCCGCTCGAGAGGGAGGTCGCTCGTACTATCGAGGCCCAGGGCAAAGGGAAGTTGTTCTGAGTGAGGGCAGCGCAGTGAGGGGGAGTTCAGATTTTGCCTGGGGGGGTGCTGAAGAGCATTTTTTGTCCTAGGGGCTCGGATGGTGGTTCCCGTTCCTTTGGAGGCCGAATCCAGATCTACAGATATCCTCAGCCACCACCCCCATACTATAATAAGCATGAACTCCGAGCATACGCGTTTTAGTGTAGCAGCATCGGTAAATATTGCAACCAGTATGGTTGCAGCAGCGTCTAGCCAGCAGTTTAGCGATTACGATCGTGGGCGGGGGGGTGGGACTACGGCTGGGCGGGACGACTCGAGTAGACGACGGGCGACCCCTCCGATTTCGAGAGGAGCGAGCTCGACCGTGTGGTCCACTAGTGTTAGGTATCAAGAGCTTTTGAGGAGCGGGAGGCTCCCAAGGCCACGAATCCCTGGGGGGCAGGCCCCCACTGTCCCCACCGTCACCCTCCCCCCTCGTCCTCCGAGGGGGGGTGGGCGGGGTGCGCGCCTCGGACCCCTGAGGGCGCCCTCCAGGGATGCGTGCCCGTAGTGAGGGTTGCCCTTATAGGGGCAGTGCGCTCTGTGGGCGAGAGCACAGAGCTCGCGTCCAGAGGCTGATCGGCGTTCAAACGAAATGCCCCCCAGAGTCCGCATGGTTTTTCTGTTCAGTACGCCTGACCACAGCCTTGCACCAGGACTCCACGGGCGATTGCTTGCTTGCTTGCTCCTCCTCCTCCTCCTCTTCCTCCTCCTCCTCCTTCCCCTCCTCCTCCTCCTCCTCCTCCTCCTCCTCCTCCTCCTCGCGCCGAGGCCAGCGCCCGAGCCTGCGGCGCACTCGGTCGGTCGTGCAGCCAGAGAGTCGAAGCCGGAATGGAGAGAAGAGTCCGAGAAGACCACTGGGTGAAGAACGAAAGCAGAGGCAGCAGCAGGCCCGAAAGTGGATCACGCTGTGGCGCACTCCTCCTTCCCCTCCTTCTCCTCCTCCTACTCCTCCTCCTTACCCTCCTCCTCCTTCTCCGAGTGCGCAAATGCGTCTGCAGACCCTTTCAAGCAATGGCAGAAACCACGACGGGCAATCTGTTCTACTGTTTGTGGCATCTGGCGGATCTTACCCGGCCTTGGGTCCGTCAAACATCAGTGTGGGATAAGAAACCGGTTCCGGGAAAGGGGTCAAGAGCTCTCGGAGTCGAAGTTATGATAACAAAAAATCATGTCGTCGAGGATCTGAATTTGTATGTGTATGTGCCAGGCACATTTACACATACGCGGGCCCTTGTCTAATCATTCGCGATAACGACTGTGACTGGCCCCGCTCCCCCCCCCCCCATCCCCGTCACGCCACGTCGCGATTCGCGCCCGCGCCGTCTGGCAATGGGCCACTCTCAAGCATCCCCAGACGTCGCTGGCCCGAATCGTGACCTGACCGGCCCCCTCCCCCCCCCTCGTCGCGCCAGTTCTCGCCAGGGTAACAACAAAAATGTTCTACATGTACACGCGTGCGCCTTGACACTCGACACCCTCGCGCCGCGACACGGCACGGACGGGCGGCTCTGCTTCGGTCTGGGCCTCTGGGGGCCCACCCGTGCCCTGGGCCTGCAACGGCACCGGCTCGAGAAGAGAAACCCATCCCGGAGAAGGGACCCAGCCTCGCTGTGAAAAAGACACGGCGTCGGATGTCTGGGCATGGCCCGTCCCAGAAGCCTTGGCTCTATGCTTTACTAAAGAGTAGGCAGCGCTAGAAGAAGGCAGAACGCCATGAACACAAACTTTTGGCGCTCCGCGCGGCTTTCTTGGATCCGCGCTAGACCCCCCTTCCTGGCGCGCGGAGCACGCCAGGGGCGGCGCCGGAGGCGCCGCCGGGGGGGCCCAGCGCGGATCCAAGAAATCCGTGCGGAACGCCAAAAGTTTCTGTTCGTGGCGTTTTTTCTTGTGCGATCCAAAGAAAAGGACGCATCCCTTGGCAGGCCTCCTCCTCCAAATTCTGCATCGGCGATACATCGGCGATGCACCGGCGATGCATCGGGCGATGCATCGTCGACGTGGGCGATGCATCGGCGACGTCAACGTGAAGCACATCGTCCGCATCGAGCCGCATCGGCGATGCATCGGCGATGCGGCGCGATCCTCCGACCCCATCTGCTCGGACCCCATCTGGGAGGCCTAGAGATCCTGCCTCCACGGGCAGAGCCGCCCCTCCTTCTGCCTCCGCGGCCTTCCGCCAAGAGCGCCCTTCCTACAACGCCCGCGGCCCCGCGACGATCGGGGAGGTTTCGGCATCTGCTGGACGGTTTCGGCGTCTGCTCGAAGGCTTCTGGCCCATCGTGTGTCGTGGCGATCGAATCCCCTAGACATCGGACGTCCCGAAAAATCGAGACGGAGGATTTTCGCAACTTTTGGCCTCTCGGGGACCTCACCGGGCCTCGGGACCGTCAAACAACGAATAAGGATGACAAACTGGCCCTGGGGAAGTGGTCGGGATGTCGGGAGCCCGTGTCTCGAACAAATTGAGACGTCGGGTGTCGAACACGGACAGTGCCCGTTTCGAACAGGCCTCGCTGTCGGTGCCGTCGCGAGCGCTATCCCTTTGAGAACACCGTCTGCCAGGCAGCGGCCGCTGTCGGTCTCGGATTTGCGCCGCCAGAACTTGACCATATCCACTGCCGCCGGGTCGTGCTCCGAGGACTCGTGGAGCGGTGGATTCGGATATCTGCCCGACCATTCGGGCGGGCAGATATCCAGATCCAGCGCTCCTTGGGATCTCAGGGCACGACTCCGCAGCGGTGGATGTGGACATACTCTGGCGGTGGAGGACAGCTGCCGTGCAGCGTGCCCCGTGCTTCCCCGCACCCGCCTCGG